ATCGTAGTATTAGTATTAGTATTAATATTACACCGTAGTATTAGTATTAGTATTAATATTACACCGCAGTATTAGTATTAGTATTAATATTACACCGTAGTATTAGTATTAATATTACACCGTAGTATTAGTATTAATATTAGTATTAATATTACACCGTAGTATTAGTATTACTATTAATATTACATCGTAGTATTAGTATTAGCATTAATATATTAGTATAGTTAGTACATACAATATATTAGTATTAATATTACACCGAATGTATTGAAATTCGATAGGAGCTAGAAAGATTGTTCGTTCCAAAAATCATATCGTTACAAATTTAAAACGTTGATTTCACTCAACGTTAATTCGTTTACGAAAAATGCGATTCTTTCTTTACCAAACTGTGGACATTTTCAATATTTAGACGAAACAAAAGGTCAGGAATCGAAGATCGCGAACAAAATCGCGTAACAGATTGCAAGAAAATATAAATTGACAAAATCTAGCAGCATTTTTTATTTCCTGTTTAAAATGTTCAATCTTCTAGTCTCGACGATGACGGAAACTTTCCTTCGATTCTAATGTACAGTGACCCACAAAAGTGTTCGTACACCTTTTAAAACGCAATAACTTTTTGAAAACTTTTAAACTGAGCGACTTGAATTTTTGTTAGATGACAGCGGGACTAGTCTATCAGAATTTGTTCGAAATCGGTTAACTCGTAGTCGAAAGCGTTGAAAGATTTAAGAGCTGCAGATTTCGTTCAGTTTTTGGTAAAAATGGTGATAAAACTGCGATTTTTGCTTACTTTTTTTTATTGTTGTAACTCACAACAACGTAAAAAATTCTATCGCATTCGATAAACTATTCAGCGCGCATATATATTTACCGAGATCTACGAGAGGCATTTTTTAAATTTCCATTATATAGGCTCGGATAAAAAATTAAAAAATTAAGAGTATTTCTATCTTTTTTTCTTTGTCACCCCAAGTAATAGCAAAATTGAAAAAAATGAAAAGACATTTTAACCATCGTCTAGTAGATCAGTCCCTCTATCATCCGAATAAGAGATTCAAGTCGTTTAGTTGCATATTAAAAACGTGTCATCGCGTTTTCGAAGGTGTACGAACACTTCTCTCTGGGCCACCGCATGTATGCGAAATGACGTATGCAAATGCGATGTTGCATAAAGGTCCGCGGTAACAATTGATTATGAATAAAAGAATATCACGGTGACCGTGGACACGTGGACGAGAGAATTCGCTGGTGTGTTAAACGCGCAAAACTAAGAGAAATTTGCTCACCACTGCTGGTGCTCCACCGTTCTTGCATGATGTACGATCAGCTGTAAACTAACTGTCCAGGAAGAAAGACCGCTAAAAGTTATAACCGGCGAAGTATAAATTAGCCTTGAACCGGTGAAGTTTATCGTAAAGAGGGGAAAGGTCGGCTTCCACGATAAAAGGAGGGACCCCGTCGTTGCGAGTTTTCCGATGCAGACAGATGAACGTGGCTCGGATTCTATGTATCTCTCCGATGATGATTCACATCTATTATCGAGTAACGAATGCAGTTTCCTCCCGACGACAGTCCACGTTCATTAAATCGTAACTTGCCTAACATCCGAACGACGATCGAGCGAACCTAGCTTTTGTAATATCATTTCGACGGTGTAGAATATGTGGTACTAATTAACGCTAGATTTATGGAGCACAAAAGACAGCGGTATTATTGTAACAGCTATATTAGTTTATAGAATTAACGATAAGACATTTATTCTGATTTTGGACAAGCGTTATTGTAACTCGTAAATATATCTTTGCGATAGGAATAATAATGAAAAAGTTTGTGGAATATATAATACTAATTAACGCTAGATTTATGGAGCACAAAGAATAGTTGTATTATTGTGACAGCTCTATTAGTTCATAAAAGTAACGATAAGACATTTATTCTAATTTTGAACAAGCGTTATTGTAACTCGTAAATGTATCTTTGCGGTAGGAATAATAATGAAAAAGTTTGTGGAATATATAATACTAATTAATGCTAGATTTATGGAGCACAAAAGACAGCAGTATTATTATAACAGCTATATTAGTTTATAAAAGTAACGATAAGACATTTATTACAAGCGTTATTGTAACGTTTGCCGTAAGTAACGTATAAATCGAATAAATAACTCGTAAATGTATCTTTGCGATAGGAATAATCGTAATTGAAAAAATTAGCGACCCATCGTTTTGACGGATTCCGTGAATCTAGCGTTAACACGCGAAACCTATCGAGCACTAGAATTGATCGACCTGTGACACTTTACAAGAACGATAAGATTGAATTTTCTTTTCTTTTCTCTTTTTTTTTCTTTTCATTAGAAGTCTTCAAATCTCGGATGAGATTTATTCGGTATACAATAAAGTGAATGTACTTAAGCGAACGTTACTGAAATAATAATTCGTGGATTATTTATAGATTTATATTACACGTTTTTAAGAAAAATAAGAGGAGACATGCACGCGCTTCGATATTTGGTTCAGCCAGCAAAATGAAGACCGAATTCGTTCAATTCTCGTGACAATTTTTATTACAATATAACCTCGACTTAAGAAATTTACTGATTTATTTTCTGCTAAATCGTCCCGATTATTCCGACGGATTTGTTACGAAATGCGCGAAACCGTTCATTTTCGTCGCCACAGTCATTCCGTCGCTCAGATTGTATACAAAAATGGACAATTTGCGAAGAAGAGATACGATTATTCGAGCCTTGTACTTCGTTTTTATACTTGTTGACAATCGGTAACCACAAAAACGAGCCACGAGGCTCGAATAATCGTATCTTCTCTTACCAAATCGTCCAATTTTGTGCACAATCCGAGCGTCAATTAGGAAGAATTTACCGTATTATTTTCATAATATTCATATCGCCCGATTTTATTATCTCTTTCCTTCCCGTTAAATCGATAGCGAACGTTCTCTAATATTCGACAATATTATACAATTCTAATAATCAAGCCTCGGGGCTCATTCTTACAGTCGCCAGTAGCAAACAATTATAAAAACGAGGTGCAAGGCTCGGATAATCTTCTCCCAAATGGTCTATTTTTTTTGTACAAGCTGAGCGTGAATTAGGAAGAATAATCAGGGGTAATAATAATTAGGGCACAATAATTAGGACTCGGAATAATTAGGGTTCGTTTTTGTACTTGACAATCGGTAACTCGTATAATAATAAATAATAATAAAAGCAATAAATATAGTAACAATCGAATCTTCTCTTCCCAAATTGTCCAATTT